AGGACACTTCATTCTCCTTCTGGGGAGCCTTTTTACTTGTTGAACCAGGACCGAATTAGTCTTAATATCACAGGAGAGTAAAAATCAATACGACCGTGGCAGTGGGTGTCTGTTACTCACTTATGATGGCCTAATCTAAGTTGAAAGCAAGCAGAGAACAAGTGTTAGGCAGAAAATCCGGGAGCCAAACCGGGTCTCGCGGATTTAGGACTGAAAAATCACACTAAGAAAGCGGAGAGATACCTCGGTTGTGGAAAAAAAGGCCATTCAAAGACCGGTAGCACCGAGGTGTTCCCAGCAAGGGGCACAGGCTGGAGTGCAGGAGTCGGTAGAGGTGGCGGCCGCCACCCAGTAGCCGCGTCGGACCCTGGCACAAGGGGTGGGGAAGGGATATCTGTATTTTTTTTGGTCTCGGATTGGTCTTTTGTATTCAAGAGGAAGAATAAATGCGAACGTATGTTCTATCTTTTCGTCTTTTATCTTACTTTTTTCCCCTCGGATGCAAAAGTTTAACAGTTCTTAGTTTAGACGTTATAAATATTCTTTCCTTTTCCTTTTCCTTTTCCTTTTCCTTTTCCTTTTCCTTTTCCTTTTCCTTTTCCTTTCTCTCACTCTTTTTTTTCTTTTGATATTTTTAATGAGGCATTTATTAAAAAGGCCTCATGAGCGTTTTTGTGGCTTTACGAACTATGCAGATTCATCTGACAAAAGCAGGACTTTCCGGTTTTGCACAGTTTCCTACCATGAAAAATAGGAAACTCTGCAAAGCTTTTATTTTCACCATCTGTTTTATTAACATATTATTTTTTCTTTGTACTCGATAAGGACTGTACTTATTACAAAACAAACTCCTCAACTTTTCAGTACGTACATCGGTCATTATATATGATACAAATGTGGTATCACTTGCAACATTTCAATCGTTTGGGGCAGATGAAAAAGAAAACTCAGCATTTGTAATTATTTTTATTTGTTCATTCCTGACTCTCCAAAAAATGATATCCGGTAATACTTTTCTATAAAATAATATTTTTACAAATGCATTTATTAAAAATTCTGATGACATTTCAAGTCAATAACAACAGAAACAAGTTAATTTCCGGTGGACGAGATCTATGTTTTTTAAAAATACCGTTAGTGCTTATTTTTTAACATCAACAGTTGTTTAAAATCACAGCTTTTTTTGAACGTATTATTCTTTTCTGAACATCACGTGTCTTGATTCACAGATTTACCGGCAGAATTAAAAAGATTTGGCTAAAATATGTCTACAGAAGAAATAATCCCAGCTATTAAGTATAACTTTTTACATTTGGCATCTGATCTAGTCACAGGTCATCAGAAAATAGAAAGAGGTTCTTTGATCACTTGAAGCAGTAGGTGGCATCCTATACGTTCCTAATGAACAATTGCATTCACAACATAAGGAGAGATCAGTTTAGGATTTTCATATTTATTAACCCAAAATAAAAATAAAGTATCTTGTTACATAATTAAGTGCAATTAGGCCAGTCAGAACAACATATAAACCTGAAATCACCCAAGCTTTTCTTCTTTATACATATTTTGTAGGTGCATAATCCTTTCCAGCACACTGAAAAGAAATACTTCAGAAGTCCTTCTTAAAATTTTACTTTGATTTATATTCTGCAGTTATAGAATAAATTTCAAGAAACACACGCAGCTAATATATAGTTTAATTTTATTCAGAGCACCGATTTTCACATAAGAGCTATCTCAAAGTAATGATTTCTGGATTTAGCAGAAAAATACATCTCTCACTATTTTCTTTTTGGTAGAATTAGACTTATCATCTAACGGCTATACCTTGAATTTACCAGCCGTGTCTCGGAAATACTTTTTTTTAAATGCACCCAATAATAATAGTAACTATTCTGTTTTCACGCTTGTTTTATTTGTAAGTATGCTGGGACGCATCTCCCTGTTGTATTTTGGCGTACAGAAATATTTCTGATAGAAATTAAAGTAATAGAGTAAAGACACAACCAAGGAGAAAGCTCAGCAAACATACATGGACAGGTAGATTATTCAGTGAGACATTTTAGGATCCACACGTGGTTGCAGTTTGTAACCCTTTTTATGTTGTTTTGTGCATTAAAGAAAATATTTACAATCGTCGTTATCTTCTTTTCCCCCCCCTCTTTTTTTTTTTTTCCATTTTTTTTCTTTCCTCTTTTAAATCTAAATACAAGAACGTGACAAGAACGTTTGTGTTTTCGGTGAAAACAGGCAGTTAAACTGTGAAATTACACCATCCACAAAAGATTCTACCAGAAGCTAGTCTATTTAGTGCTCAGTTTCAAAATGCATAGAATGTTTGCGCTGCAAACAATGATACACGAAATAATAATAATAATATTAATAATAAAATAAATAGATAAATAAATAAATAAATAAATAAATAATATAGAGACTTTAACACGGATCTTTCTATGCCTTTTTTTTCCTTTTTTTCTTTTCCTTTCTTTTTTTTTCTTTTTTTTTTTTTTTTTTTTTTTTTTTTTTTTTTTTTTTTTTTTTTTTTTTTTTTTTTTTTTTTTTTTTTTTTTTTTTTTTTTTTAGGTCATGTCATGCATAATTTCAGTCCATTGTTTGTTTTGATATAAACGGAATGATATTTTCTTTGCAGAAATTCCTTCTTACTTGAAAGCCTTAAGCAGTCTCTCTGCAAAAGCCAGAGTCAGCGATGGCTTCTGCACGTCGCTGCCCTTTTTACCTAACAAGCCCTGATATTTTTTTGTTTGTTTTCAATTCATGAAATATGTAACACACCTTGATGGTTATTAGTACTACCAGCATCGTTATTACGGAATAACATCATCGGTTCCAAACCAGGAGACCGTGATAGTGCAAACTGAACCCACACACCCCTCCCAAAAGCCATCCTCTACATAACGTTTATTATTTACAATAAACAATTTTTAAGCCCAAGTGTTTTTTTTTGTTGCGTGTTTGTTGTCAGCATGCGGACCCCTCAGAAACAAATATTATTTCAAACCCATTTCAAACCGATGATTTCCTTCGCCTACCGGGTGCAATAACCTTCAGCCCTCGGAAAAAAACAAGGCAGGACCTTAACCTAAATCCTGCATATTTGGTAGGGATGCCGGGGGGCATAGGGTTGGGAGCAGAGGGGAGGGAGGGAGTGGAGAGGACATACTTAACCACGAGCATTAATGAGTCTGAACATCATCTTTTGCAGAGCATCCCCGCTCTGGCAGGTTTGGTATCTGCCTCCAAATGCATCTCTGCAGAAAGAGGGACCTGTCTTTGGACACAGCTGGAAACGCAAACCACGCAGGCGAGGGAGGAGGAACAAAGGGGCTGTGGAGGAACTTTTTTTTTTTTTTTCCCTTGAGCTAGCTAGGATTATTGAGGCAACAACGGACAGACTGCTCCCGAGCTTTGGGAGGACCGGTTGTCCTGCCGGGCTGCGACCGCTGCCCCTGCCCCTGCCCCGTTCGCACCGCTCCCCCGGCACAGACAAGACCTATCGTCAAAGCCTCGCGAAAACCGCGTTCGAGGAAAAAAAAACAAAAACAACAACAACAACAACAGAAAAAATACCAAAACAAACAAACAAACAAAACCCCAAACCAAGCCAACTAAAGTAAAAGTCCCCCACACCAAACCACCGCCGCCCTCATTCATTACCAAGCCAAGGAAAAGAAAGAAAAGCATAAAGTAATGAAGAGACCCAAACCAAACGTAGCATCATCATCACCGACAGTTTCGCCTTCCGGGTTAGTTGGTCGGTTTTGTTTTCCTTCGGAAAGTTGTGACTTAGGTTTCTCGGTTTGTGGTTGTTGCTGTCACGATATTTATTGGTGTGTGTCTGTGTGTGTTTATGCTTTAAGTTGCTCTTTCTCCCGCTTTCTGTCGGGGGGGGGGGGGGCCCGGGGGGGAATGGGCCCGCAGAAGTGACCCCCATGGGTTTCCAGAGCATTTTTACCTCCTCTCTCCTCTTTCTTCTCGTTGATGTCCCGGTGTCTTTTTTGTTTTAATAATTGATAGCGCACCCCCCTCACACACGCACACACCCCCCTTCCCCGACTAGTTCGCCTTTAATTTCTACATCGTCCCTTGGTCCCCAGGAGCCTCCCACGGCGTCTCAGGCGACGGTGGCGGTGCGTGGGCGTCCCCCGCGGCCCCGGCCCAGCCCCCCCCCGGTGCCCCCGATGCCGGGGCAGCCCCTCCCGCCCGCCCCTAATAGGTGGCGGAAAATTTCATCCGTTTCTGCTTCTGTCTCTGGTTGCAAAACCAAACCCGCACCACGTTCTTTTTGAGGTCCAATTTCTCGGCGATGGCGGCGATCTTCTCGGATGAGGGCCGGGGCTGGACGGCGAAGTACGCCTCCAATGAGCGCTTCTCTGGGGCGGCGATGGAAGTCCGCTTGCGCTTCTTCTCGCCCCCGTTGAAGAGCTCGGGCTTGTTCATTTTTTCCCGCTGGGCGCCCTCGGCCTCCTCCAGCCAGGCCTGCAGGATGGGTTTGAGGGCGATCATGTTGTTGTGGGAGAGGGTGAGGGACTCGAAGCGGCAGATGGTGCTCTGGCTGAGGGAGCCCACCCCCGGGATCTTCAGGTTGGCCAGAGCCGAGCCCACGTCGGCCTGGGTCACCCCCAGCTTGATGCGGCGCTGCTTGAAGCGCTCGGCGAAGGCCTCCAGCTCTCGTGGGTCCGTGTCCGAGTCGCAGATGGAGGCCAGGCCGGCCGCCCCCACCAC